CGTGTCTGGGGGGTATTCTGACCAAATTAATTTCTGACCAAAGTCAGGACACGTTGCCATGGCCGAGCTGCTGGAGAAGCCAGACAGCACTGAGGAAGGTCCTGAGAAGGGGAGATGGCTCCAGAGAAGCATGTGGCAGTCCTGGGTACAAACCCACGTGCCTTTTCCTGAAGAAAATCTGAGTTTCTGATAGCCCAGGAGTCACCCTGTGGCCCTCAGCACCATCCCTGCAGCAATTGCACAATCTCACCTCCAGCTCGTGCCTGGGAAGCAGCAATCCTTGAAATCAAGTAATTAGGGCCAGTTGGAAAAGCTTTATTGACTTTATCATGACAGTGGATCACACCGCAGTGTCACGCTATTGATCTGGGCTTGTGCTGAGCAAGGGCAGGTTTTGCATCATCCTGCCTGGTGGAACCAAGCTCTCCCTGCTGCTTAGGCCTAGGGCCAGCCCAACTTTTCTGGGCCCTTAGCCTAGTTCAGTGTTAAACTTGTGAAGCTGTTGACCAAGAAGACGGCAGTGCCATTTCTCAGGGAATAACCCATTTCTGCATCCTTAGCTTTTCCGATTTCTTCTTTTGAACAGCCCGGCGCTATTGGTAAGGGAAGATCAGGGTGCCCGTGGCAGGTATTTGGGGATGCGGGTGGCTCTGGGCTAGCAGGCAGCCCGTGGGAGCTGGGCAGCGGTGCTGCTGGTCTCTGCCTGGGAGAGGGGAGAGGGCAGGACCTCGGCACACGCCTGGGTAGGGTGCTCTGCCCTGGGAAATGAGCCCCAAACCCCACCCCGCGCTCAAAGCCGAGCTGCTTTGAGCCAAGCTAGCCTGTAAAAGAAGGTATTTAAACACAAGGAATCAACTGCATTAAGCACAAATTCATCTGTTGCTGCCGCTGTCCGGGGGCAGAGCGGCCGTTTACTGCAGCCTGTGATGCTGCGGGAATCAGCGGCTCTGTGCTCATTAACGCTCTGGGCCACTAACGATGCCCAGAAGTGGCTGCAAACAAAGACAACTGAAGTCTGATGGATTAATGCTGCCTCCCACCAATGCAGCCTGCAATCCATCAATTACCTATCTGCTTAGTCCTTTTCTCCATCCTTTTACAATCTAAATAGCACATTTTATAGTCGCTGCTAAGTGATGTGATCAACATCAATTACCTACTAAAAGAGAATCAAGTCTTGATTTAAAATTAAGTGCTGCATTTTGCCATGTTCTTTATATGTAGCCAACAGAATAATTGCAGTGACATAAAAACTAATTACACAACTCCACAATTAGGCCTCCCTCCTAGTGCTGTGATTGTCTTTAAGTACATTGATGAAAAATTACTCCCAGCCCTAAATTACTCTCTCACACCCATCTTCTCAAATACCTTTGGAAAAAAAAAAACACTCCATCCCATCAGATCAAACAGAAGAACTTGAAATGCAAACGATAATACATGCAGAGTGTGTTTTCTAATCTCTTTGATGCGTGAGCGGTTTCAGAGGGTGGGATTAGGCTGGTATGGCCTGGGGATGCAGCAGCGTTCCTCTCTGTGATGATGGACCAGGCACCTCAGCAAGACTTCCCAAACAGCCCGGGGGCTGTCCCGGGGTGTGCCAGCACCCTGCCACGCCGCCCTTAGGCTGCAAGCGAGGGAGAAGCTTCTTTTCCCTCTGCCCCAGCCGAAGTTTGGCTCTTGGGCTGTGAGCAGAGGAGAGGCCAGCCCTGCCCGACTGCCGGCCTTGGGTTTGGGGCATGGAGAGGTTTTATTGCTGCTCCTGCTGTGCCTGAGAGAAGGGGCTCACCGCGGCTTCAGAGAGATCGTTGATCATCCCGTCAGTGCTGCTCCACCCGGCAGGAACAAGGGGAAGAGCTGGATCCAGCTCACCTGCCCCACCAGAGAGGCCCCCGTGGGGTTTTGGGCAGAGCAGGATGGATGGGCCCCGTCCTGAGCTAGTGGCACTGCTGCTCCGGGAGCCGGGGGGGCCCGCGGCCCCAGAGGGAGGAGGAGGAGGAAGAGGCTGGAGTACGGCAGCGCTGCCCCACATCCACAAGCCAGGAGTTACGTCTTGCCAGAAATCACACAGCTGCCTGAAAAAATCGTAAACCCCAATAAAAATCAGAAACCTCAGTAAATCTGTGGAACACTCCTGACGGGCTTTGTGGGTTTTGATTCCAGATTCTGATTCTGAGGTGCTTACATCTAACCGGGAAAGACTGAAAATATTCCATTTGCTGGGAACGGCGGACGGGCGAGCGGCGGTGTGGGGACACTCAGGGGACAGAACTGGCTGCAGGCCCCCTTACGCTGCGCTGTGCTGTCACTCGCCGTCCCGGAGCATCCTTTGGTGGGTGATGAAGCACTGCAGGTTTGCTTTTGGGGCTGGCAGGGTGTTTTTAACCGCTGCCCAGCGTGCGCTGGGGCCCGCAGGCATCCCTGTGCCCCAGCCGCTCCGCAGCCACGGCCCAGCCAGGTCGCGCAGCCCGCGGCTGGGGGTCTGCAGCCATCCCTGCCCTGACACCGCTCCGTCACCGGCTGGGAGAGGGGTGGGAAGTGTTTCGGCACCCGATTTTCACCAGCGCCGTGCCGGGGGGCTGAGGAGGGGGTCACGGCTGCGGCTGCCCAGCAATCCCAGCCTGCCGCTCTCACCCCCTCCTCACCGCGCTCCAGGGGGGCCGCTGGGTGCCAAGGCTGCGAATTAACACCCTGGCACCCGCCGGAAACTTCACCCCCCCCGCTCCCTCACAAACGTGTGAGAAATAAAAAAGGGTGTCGAAGCAGCCCGCGGCAGCGTTGAGGCCGACCGCATCTCACCAGCCTCGCGAACACCACCTCCGAGCGCGATCCCGCCGCGCCACCCGGGCCTGAGGGACCACGCTCGGAGCTCGCCGCGCTGCAGGAAAGCAGCGAAAAGCCGTTTATTTTACCCTTTTTCCCTACACCGGCCACAGAAGCCAGTGCCCCCCCCCAACACCCCCCCCCCCGCGGTGACCGGGCTCCGCCCGCAGCCGGGGGGCGGGGCCGCCTGAGGGCTGGGGGGCGGGGCCGGGGGCGGGGACGCGGCATCGGCCGGCGCGGATTGGCTGGGGGCGGGGGCCGAGCGGAGCGTGCGCAGTGTGGAGCGGTGAGTGACGGGGGGGGGGGGGGGTGAGGGAGGGGGGCGCTGCCCTGAGCCCCCTCGGGCCGCTGCTCGGGGCTGGGGGGTCGGGGGATCGGGCCCCTGCCCCCCCGCCCCCCCTCTACCGAGGAGCCGGTAGTGAGGCCTCGCCGAGCCGGGGGGTGTGTGGCTCTGGGGGCGCTGGGCCCGGAGAGCTGCGTGCGGGGCGAGGGTAACGGCGTTTAACCCTCAGCCCCGGGGGGGTGCGGCCTGCCCTGGGCACGGCGGGGGGTGAAGGCTGTCCGTGGGGTGTCCCGCTCTGGGAGGGACCGAAAATCAGCGCCCTGCGGTGGGCACATACCCCCAGAGTGCGGGGCAGGCCGCCGAGGCGGACAGGGATCCCTAACGCTGGAGGATTTTTAAATACCCGTTCAACAAAACAGGAGCAGTTTGGAGTCTGCCTGGAGCGTGAGGGGGGCTGGGTGAGCTCAGGCCCCTTTGCACCCGAGCAGTTGTAGAATAAAAGTGTCCTGGTACTGTTGGTGTAGCTCTGGGCCATTAAAACTGTTTTTTCCTCAGGGTGACACGAGGCCTGAATTTTAAACTGTTTAATTATTTTGGTACAAGCTTGCATATGGCTCTTCTGCTGGAGAACTAGTGAAATTGCACATTGCGCAAAGCTGGGGAGTGAAAACTGAGCCTGAGCAAATGGGATTTTGTAAATAAACAATATTTGGAATATTGCCTTAAAATGTTTAACTTCAGGGGTGACTAACACTTGCATTAGAAGTAATCTTTGACAAATAATCAACACTACCCGCCTCTCAAGATGGCCTAGTTTTACACCACCAAGTTCTGTAGACACAATTTCTTAGGGGCAAGTTATTTATTTTACAGTATTTTGCTGATAGAACTAACCTAGTACAAATACGGCTTAGAGGCAGGAAGTATGACTTCACTGATACTGTTTAACTTGCTTGCCAAAGGAGTATAATCTGCACAGGCATTTCTGCTGGTAGAGCTGTTGGTGCGAGGAGGCTGCTCCAGCGCACAGCCATGGTAGGAAACCTTTGAAATGCAGATAAGTCTCTGGCATCAGAAGCTGATGACACACCCCGTTGTTTACTGAACATGCTACCACAGTGTCTCTGCTCCGTGTGATCCTTCTGAATGCTCTGGGAGTAGCATTATTAAGGAATGGACTTCTTCTAATTTCTTTTCCCCAACCCTCCCTTGAAATGACCAGCCTGGACTGCATTGGTGTTTTTCATCAGCCTCCAAGGTGTTTCTGTGGTGGAAGCATCCAAAATCTTGCCCTAGAAACTTTAATGTAGAAGTGCTAACAGAGATGAGAGCAGTGTCTGCAAGGTCCCGGGGTCTGCCATCTGTGTGACCATGTATTCCTCTAGATTTGAAGGGATAATACAAATATGTTCCTTTTAAAGAAATAAGCTAGAAACTGGCAATTCCTGATGAGTTACTAGAACAGCCCTTGAGCCCACAATGTTGCCCCTGTGCCATAAAGCAACACAAGACCAGTGCTGGCGCTACTGCCACCTGCTCCTGCTTTATGGTTGAGAATTTCTTTAGCCTGAGCAACAAAACACCTGAAAAACCCTCCAGCACCCCCAAACCAGCTGTCTGCTCTTACTTGGCAAGGAGGTGGAAGACTGCTTAAATACAGGTGTGGTTGAAAGCATGTCAGCTATATTCTGAGAATTTGCAAGTCACTAGATTATTGGGATAATAGCCTTTCTAATCCTCTCTGCTAAGGACTCCCTCTGTGGCTTTTATAACCCACCTCAGCTCTTACCACTCAGCTTTCCCCTCTGAGAAATAATGTTTAACTTGCACTTGTGAAGTAGGTGAATCAGCTTTAATTAAGATTTGTTGAGTGCTTTGTTGATAAGTTCGCTATAAAGCCAGTTACAATTTTTTATTAACACACAGATATTCTTAGCACCTGAAGTGAAAAATGACACAACACTTGGGATCTTCGGGGAAGCAGCCCTGTGAAAGGAGGCGGCGCGTGCTGACGAAGGCTTTGTCAAATCGTGTCTGGCTGCGGTTCACGAGGCGGCTTGCTCCTAAAGATCTGACTCAGAAAAACCCCAGATCCTCTCAAGTCACTGGGAAATCCTAAATGTTCCTGGAAGTTCAGCCACACTTTGCCTAAGATTTGTAGATCTTGCCCCCTTGCTGGATTTCTTACAGAGCCTTCGGTCGGGCTTTGGTGCAGCTGTGTGTGTATGGCATCAGTTGAGCAGGCGCAGCTGTTCTCACCCGCTTTGGAATGCCTTGTTTCAATGATTTCAACTGCTTTCAGCAATCATCATGTGAAATTATTCTGTCTGGGGTAGGGAGGGCTGGCCTGGGTGATGACCTTTCTGGGCTACAGCCTCTCACGCAGGTTGGTGGGGCTGCTTGGCGGTAGGAGGGAGCATTTCCCTTCCCCACAGGCAGCCCAGGTGAGGGTCCCTCGCCCTGCAGTGCATGGGAAGGTGTTTTCATCACTAAAGTAGCTTGCTGGCAAATTAAGTGAAGAGCTTCATTTATGAAAGGTAATGAAAATGTGAATTGAAATGGTTACGACTGCTCATTCTGCGTTGCTGGGTGGGTGCCCTTTGGTCAGGATGAGGAGCTCTGTTGTGTTTTGGGGAAGAGAAGGCTGTTAATTTAGCTCTAAGATGTCACTGCTGTAGGAGTGGCCAGATGGAGGATGCTAAAACGAAATGCAAGGCTGGAAAAAACTCCTTGTCCATGCCCCTGTCCTGAGGCCAGGTGAGAGATACTCAGCTCTAGACTGGACAGCAGTGGATGTTAGCACAGATCTGAATCGGGCACAAGTTCTTCCTGGGACTTGATGAAAGCCCTGTCTCAGAGAGCCTCTTACCTTGTCTAACTCGCCCTTGCAGCAAATTTAGCAGGGCACTTTGTCTCTTGCTGTCATAGAATGGGGAGCCCAAGGGATGGTTGTCCTTGTAAACAGCTGTTAAACGCCGGGAGCTGATAACGAGCCTGGAGGGGAGCAGGGATGGGGAAACCCTTCAGCAGCTGCTATGGGGCTGTGTGTTTTACACCACTGACTGCTCCCCTTGTTGCCCAAACCCTCTGGGTTTTCTGTGACTTTTTTTAGGGGTGGTGCCCAGCACTGAGCATGGCCTTGCAGCCCTGAATTATTTTATGTTCTTAAATCACAGAGTGATGCTTAGCTCTTTGCAGCTGGAGTTGTGGTGTCACAATGCTGACACACGTTGCATGTTTAGACCAGTCCTCAATTTTCATCAGTGTTACCTCTGTCCAGAGAGATTTCCCCTGTGCTGCATTTGTGTGCTTGATCTTTGGTTTTGCTGTTTCTGAGTGCAGTTCTTTGCATTGTTTGCCATGCTTTTCTTTTTATTGATTCGTGGGTGTTTTTGGAACTTTTCTTCAGTTTATCAATTCTGATCATGACCTCCGGAGTGCTTCCAGCTCTTAACTGCTGGGCATCCTTTCAGGTTTTATAAAAGTACTTTCTCTTTCATTGTTCAGGCCATTAATGAAAAGGATGAATAGGAGAAAACCTGGACTGATCTCCAAGGGTCTGTACGTGAGGTTTTCTCCCGTTGTGACAGGGAATCGTTGATAGCTACCCCCAAAGTGTGCGTGGGGGGAGCTGCTTTGTTATTTTTGTTTTTTTCTTAGTTAGTAATGAGCACTGTGCCTCGTTAAGGCGAGCTCACCTAGCCAGAGTTCCTCTGGTTAGCCTGAAAGTGTTGGAATGATAGAGTGAAAAGCCTGCTTTAATGCCATTGTGATGGGCAGATCTCTGTAGAGGGGGATTTGTGCCCCATTTCTAAAGACTCGGGTGATTTTCAAGAGCTTTCATGAACCTCACTTAACTGGGGCTTTTCCCTGGCGCTCACTAGGACTAGCATTGCTGAGAGGCAATCCTCTGGTCGCTCAGCCCTGCTTTCCAATGAGAGCTCCCCAGGTGGCTCTGCTTTGGTAGCAGAGGGGTATGCACGGGGGGAATTTGTGTCCATAATGTCCTGCTCCCTTTTGCTTCTCTGTAGGCCTGCCTGCCGTGAGAGTTAGGCTTGTCTGTATGCGACTGAGGTAGTAAGAATACATTTTTCTCCTCGAGCAATTCAAAACTCCTTCTGTGGTTGCTCTCCTCGGGGGGGGGGGGGGTGAAGTCTCGCTCTGGAGAAAATTAATTACACTCATTTTTATCTTTGAATAGTGTGTCGCTGTGGGAGCGGTTGCAGGATACCTCATTCCACCAGGGCTCTGCCGATCACCTTCTCAGCGTGAACTAAGCTTAAGGAAGAGGAGTTAGTTTAGCTGACATACATTTAACTGGAGAAAACATCACTGTCCAAACAGGGCCAGCTGTAACCGCCCCTGGGTTCTGTAAGTACTGAGCTGCTGTGTTCAGCTTTTTGAATTTTAAGAGGTTGGTCCTTTTCTGAAGTGCACTTCCACCCGCTATACCATCGTTCTTTGCACATCAGTGTAACTGCGGGGTGAAATTTCAGCCGCACTGCATCCCAGGACAGCACAGGGTTCCCCTGTGATTTTCATCTCTTCCACCTCTCAAGGCTGGTAACTTGAGGTACCTGGCCACAGCTGTTTGCTCAGGCTGTGCTTCAAGGACATCAACGAGATGGAGAAACCGTGCCATGTTCTCCTTTGTTGGTCCATCCCTGATGGTGGGTGCCCTGACCAAATTTCAGTTTCGGGGGAGAAAATTCAGCCTTCCTAAAGCATTCCTGTGTTTTCTTTTGGAATTTTCCTTACTTTTCTCTGGGGGGCTGTGTGCTGTAGTTTAATGCAGGTAGAGAGGTTGTGTTCTGCTCTGGGTTATGGCTGAATTTTGGTGGTGGATAAATTGCACCCTGAATCCTGTTTGCAAAGCCCTTTGGGCGTTGTGGGATGCAAGAAGCTGTATAATATTCTAGATGTGTGTTTGCTGATAATTCTATAGGGTTCTGAGTGAGCAGGTTGTTAAGAGTCCTGATTATACTGGTTCCCCGCATAGTCAGTCTTTGCCCAAATAATTCAAAAGCCTGCTGCAGAGAGAGGAAAAGGAAGATGGAAGAATGATTTAGAAACCTCTGGGTCACTGGAATAGGTGGGAAGAAGATGCATGTGTTGATCTGAAGGGGATACCGAGCCAGGTATATACCTTTAAGCATCTAAAAAAAAGTCAGGATTTTTTTAAACGGCTGCCTACTTTAAACCCAAATAGTTTCCTTAATGAGATTTTTTAAAAGGTTTAACTGTTAATTTTAGAATTTTTATTTCAAGCATGCTTCTCAAAATTAACTTTTTCAGTGCAGAATGCTTTAATGTCTTCTGTGTTAGTGCTCATTTGCAAGAAATCTATGCACAATTATTTCTTATGTACCAGTTAAATCTATCAGCCAACAGATGTCAAGTGTAGCAAAAATGCTATAATAATATTATGGTCTAATAATAGTTATAATGATTCTAATTACCTGGCACGGCTTTTGAGAGAGGCAGACTCAGAAATTAGTGCAAACGAGATGTCTAACCTTGAACTGCAGAAGCAGGGCACTTTCAGAGGTGTCTGAGCTGCGCCCCCTCCTCCCTATCAGACATCCCTTTCCCTTTATTTCCTCCAGCAAACCGGGAGTAGCGATCTGGTCTGTTCTAAATGTGCAGAGCTCGTTCTCGGTATGGTCAGAGGCGGGGAAGCGTGCTGGCGAGCTGTAGATGAGCACGTTTCTTGAAATACCTGGGAATGTGAAGCCCGGTCATTTTTAACCTTGCGCTGCCGTCTGGCTGCCCCGGTTTGAGCGCGCTCCTGCTGCCTGATGATTGCAGCGCGCACAGATTGCTCTCGCTTCGGGAAGGCTGCGGGAGGCTCAGCAATCTTCATCTTTTATGCAAGCCGGTTGCGCTGCTTTTAAGTGTCAGGGGGGCTTTGCCACAGCCCGGAAAGCACAAAGCCAGCCCGAAGCTGCCGGGGTGCTGCGGGGCAGCTTTGGTGCTGTCTGCCGGTGGGGGAGCGGGTGTGCAGACCCGAGTTGTTGATCCCGCTGGAGGCTTTGGTGTGGGAGGCGAGGAGGGCATGTCAGCAGGTAGGAGCCAGTCGCCTTGCTGGTGCGTGAGTGCTGTGCTTGCTTTGCCTTCAGCAGTTTGGACCCACACGGCCTCGTCAGAGTCTCCTTCCCCTCTGCAGGAAGGATGCTCTGCGTGCCAGCTCTTTTATGTCACTCCCAGCGCCTCTCTCCCACTGCATTTTTCCTTTAGGAAGGATCCTGGGCTGCATTTTCTGCATTCCAGTGTTTTTTGCCAAACCTTGACATGTGCTGTGTAGTGTTTTGGGGTCCCAGTGCTCATTATTGTTGTAGGGCCAAGAAGGTGATGCATAATGGATTGCCCCTTGCCGCAGCTGTTTGTTTTAATTTTATGATGTGAAGTTGGTGAGGAGTCCCTCATTCACAGGGAAAGATCCCTTCTGCAGAAGCAGCCCCACACAGGCTGGAAGTTGACAGCTTTTAATGATTACATGCCAGGCTGAACGTTTTTCCTTTAAATAATAGATTCAGTGTGCTGATGAGAACTCAGCAGGACCTACGGGAATTTGGCTGTCAGTTGCTGATCCCCGCCATGGGCAGCAACTGCGAATCTTTTACCATCTTCCTGTAAAATGGATCCAGAGGTGCCCTCGCAAGGTTTTCTTCTGCATTTCCAGTCTGCTTTAGACTGGCACGCTCCGCTTCTCACGAAAGCCCTGCTTGCCAGCACCGTGTGTTCAGCACACGCAGCCCACCTTTCCCCAGGGCTCACTCGCCCATTTTCAGCCTTTTCTTTGCGGAGGTTTGCCTTCTTGCTGGAGTTGGTACCTCCACTGGGGCATCGCCATGGAGATGGTGCCATAGGAGCCGCAGGGCACAGCCCTTTCCACGCTCATACGAGGAAGGATGCAGTAGTGGGGCTACACTTGTTTAGGGAAAATGATTTCTCAGAGTAAATAATTTGTCGGAGAACACTGGGCATCACCCCAGATGCTATTAAGGAAAAGACAAATCTTGGATCTCTTCAAGCCTGAGCTGTAATGGTCATGTAATATTCACAAGCTTTTTAACATGCTTCTTGGCTTTGCTCAACATCGGGCATTGCTGCCATGACCAACACTGGCTCACTAACCTTCTTGTGCTTTTACTTGCCCTGAGAAACCAAAGCTCCCTTTGCTTTCTGCTCCCAGTAAATATTAGCAGTGTATTTCTCATCAAGAGCATCTCTTTTCTTAGCCAGTTGAGAGCCCACGTTTTCGCTGCCCTGAGTCGGTTGCAAGCGTTGGTTTCCCTGTGACAGGTATGGCTCTGGTCAGGTTTCCAAAGGGCGCAAAGGACGTGCAGGTGTGTTGGGCTCTCCTGCATGCAGAGGAATGGCTTGGCAGACCGTGCCAGTGCGCCCCAGGCCCTGAATGAGCCTGTGCTGAAACCTCCTTGGGGTTGTGGAGGCACTGCCCGTTCTGCTCGCCTGGCACTGGCGCACTCTTTCTTCATCTAGTGTTTGCTACGTGGAGAACTGTCTCGAGGAGGTCTGCAAGAGCCCTCTGGCACCTCTCTGCCTCGTTGCCTCCACGTTTCATTTCAGACTTCATCTGTAAACATCTCTTTGCCCTTGCTAAACACTTTGTTTCTTAATTTCTCTCTGCAAGAATATTATTTAATTTGTAAATGTTTTAGGACATTATTTGAAAAATACAATATGAAGCTGTATTTAATTTACTGTAATGATCCACTAATGTAGACATATTTGAAAGGCAGGATATGCAGTACTGTGGGGTTTAATTAAATTTTGTTTTTCAAGTAAGCATCAATAGACAGACAATAACAAATGGTGGACAATATGCATACAGAACAAAATCACTGCATTTTCTTTTCCAAGACTGTAGAAGTGAAAAATGTATAGCCCTTAAAATGTACTTGGCTTGCTCACAATTGTAGCTTTAGTGCAGTTACACACTTTAGAGGGAGTTTTTTTCTTTTTACTCTGACTTAATTAATTTACCTGATCTCTTCCTGCCGGCGAAATAAACTGTTACACTGTTGAAAATTTCCAGCAGGAGCCTTGGGTGATCTAGGTTAGTAAAAGGAGAACTAAGGAAAATATGGGTGCTTTCTGGAAGGACAAGGGAGACTTGGTAGCCCAGGATATGAAGGCAGCTGAGCTACTCAATGACTTTTTTGCCTCAGTCTTCACTGGCAAGGACTCCAGCCACGCTGCCACCGCCCAAGGCACAGAAGGCAAAGGCAGGGACTGGGAGAATGAAGAACCACCCAGTGTAGGAGAAGATCAGGTTCGAGACCATCTGAGGAACCTGAAGGTGCACAAGCCCATGGGACCTGAGGAGATGCACCTGCGGGTCCTGAGGGAACTGGCGGATGAAGCGGCTGAGCCACTGTCCATCATATTTGAGAAGTCATGGCAGTCCAGCAGAGTTCCTGCAGGTGGGAAAAGGGGAAACATAACCCCCATTTTAAAAAAGGGAAATAAAGAAGACCCAGGGAACTACAGACCAGTCAGTCTCATCTCTGTGCTGGGCAAGTTCATGGAGAGGATCCTCCTGGAAACTGCTAAGGCACGTGGAAAATAAGGAGGTGACTTGTGACAGCCAACATGGCTGCACTAAGGGCAAATCGTGCCTGACAAGTTTGATGGCTTTCTACGATAGGGTTACAGCGTTCATGGATAAAGGCAGAGCAACTGACAGCATCTACCTGGACTGGTGCAAAGCATTGGACGCTGTCCCGCAGGACATCCTTGTCTTTAAAATGGAGAGACGTGAATTTGATGGATGGACCACTTGGTGGATAAGGAATTGGCTGGATGGTGGCACTCCAAGAGCTGTGGTCACTGGCTCGATGTCCCAGTGCAGAGCAGTGACGAGTGGCATTCCTCAGCGGTCGGTGTTGGGACCGGAGCTGTTTAACATATTTGTTGGCAACATGGACAGTGGGATCGAGCACACCCTCAGCAATTTGTCCGACAACACTGAGCTGTGTGGTGCGGGGACATGATGGAGGGCAGGGATGGCATCCCAAGGGACCTGGGCAGGCTGGAGAGGTGGGTCTGTGCAAACCTCATGGAGTTCAACAAGGCCAAGGGCAAGGTCCTGCCCAGGGGTCGGGGCAATCCCCAGCACAAACCCCGGCTGGGCGAGGAGTGGCTGGAGAGCAGCCCCGAGGAGAGGGACTGGGGGGGTTGGTGGGGGGAAAACTGCCCGTGAGGCAGCCCTGTGCGCTCGCAGCCCAGAACCCACCCATGCCCTGGGCTGCAGCCAGAGCAGGGGGGGCAGCAGGGCCAGGGGGGGATTCTCCCCCTCTGCTCCGCTCTGGGGAGACCCCCCTGCAGTGCTGGGGCCAGCTCGGGGG